TGTATAGTTTATTTGAAGTGTAAATATTAGAGGTGTGCGAGAACTCGAAAATATCGGAAACTCGGGACGGATCGGGAAGACATCGGGTCGAATCCCGACTCTGTCGGGAATCCCGAAAATTTTGGGAACCCGACTTGATCCTGACAAAAATTTCCCGACCCGACCCGATCTATTCGAGTTCTCGCACACCTCTAGTAAATATTAAACATACTTCCAAATTTAATTTTCTTTACAGTGATTTAATATATCCTTAACATATTCGAGCATCAATTTGTATATTGATAATTATTATCAATTAATTATTATTACATACATCATTTGTTATCATTGGGATCAAATGAATAAAGTGGTAACACTTGGTTATTAATTTACAGATATCCGAATCTGAAGCAATCCGGATTATCGCAGATGCCACGACTGGTAGTGTTCACTTCGGAGGACGCGCACTATTCCGTGAAGAAGCTCGCCGCGTTTCTGGGTATCGGCTACGACAACGTATACCTGGTCAAGGTCGACTCTCGTGGCAAGATGGTGGTCTCCGATCTGGAGGTTCAGATCGCTCGAGCCGTCGAGGAGGGCGCCGCGCCGCTCGTCGTATCCGCCACCGCGGGTACCACCGTGATAGGCGCGTTTGACCCCCTGAGGGAGATCGCAGAAGTCTGCAAGAAACATGGGCTATGGTTCCACGTGGATGCCGCGTGGGGCGGAGGTGCACTCGTCTCCGAGACGTACCGTGGCCTCCTGGACGGCATTCAGTTCGCCGACTCCGTCACCTGGAACCCCCACAAGCTGCTTGCTGCGCCGCAACAGTGTTCCACCCTGCTGCTCCGTCATGAAGGTCTCTCTTTATTCTTATATCTTTCCTTGTACCTTGTACTTGTGTCTCTTTATTTTTATTTATTTTTTTGATAGAGAAAATTTTTTTCGTTCGTTTTATAATTTATACTCTAATTTATATCTTAATAATGATCTTATCTTAAAATTAAAATATCGTATAATGTATAAATTTTAATTAATTAAATTGATTAATTTATAAGTTAATCACTTAACGTAATTTTGTTATATTTATTATATACTATTTTATCAATATTTTACCTAATTCGTAACTTTTCAGTACTTTAGATAATTAAAATCTCAAGTATCTTTTTTTTATATATTCTGAATTGGAACATCGTGTAAATGAAAAATTAACTGAGTTTCACCCTTAGGTTTGTTACAAGCGGCGCACGGCTGCAGGGCGAGCTACCTTTTCCAGAACGACAAGTTCTACGACGCGTCGTTCGATTGCGGTGATCGCCACGTGCAATGCGGCCGCCGCGCCGACGTCGTCAAATTCTGGTACATGTGGAAGGCGAAGGGCACGCGCGGCCTCGAGGCCCACGTCGACCACGTGTTCGCGCTCTCGCGCCACTTTACCGATCTCATCAGGATACGCGACGGCTGGCACCTGCTCGTCGAGCCGGAGTGCATCAACGTTTGCTTCCGCTACATCCCGCCGTCGAAGAGGCACCTGGCCGGCCAGGAACTCGAACAGGCACTTCACAAGGTGCGCGACACTCGACTCTGTTTGATCTAAGCGCGTTTTTGTTGACGACACTTATATTATAGGTGCAAAATAATGAATTAGGAGAATCAAGCGAATCATTTTTGTTTCGCTTGGATTGATGAGATAATAAACTCAATATCCTGATTGTTAGTTTCCGTATTGTTAACTGAAGTGATTATTTTTAACACATTACGGTTTTTTTTTATTAAACTTATGTGCTATTTTGAATTTATAATTTATTTTCTTCTATTTTGTTAATTTGTATATCTTGATTTCATTTTGATGAAATCATTGTAGATCGCGCCGATAATCAAGGAACGAATGGTACGAGCCGGAACAATGTTGATTACGTATCAAACATTGAGAAATATGCCGAACTTCTTCAGATTGGTGCTGCAGAACTCGGGACTAACGAAGACTGATATGAAGTTCTTCGTTGAGGAGATAGAAAGGCTCGCCATGGACCTTTGATTAGTTCTATCAATATAATTGTACTGTAAATAGCGATATAGGCTGTGTATGTATTACTAGCTTAAGAAATATTTGCACTTGATAAATCAACGTGTGGATAAATCCGCGTTGGGAGAAAACAAGAAACAATCATTAACATCTCTCTCAATTTTCTTTTTAATTTATGCATAAAGTGCGCGCATTCAATTTTAATTATATATGTATTATAGTCTTCTCTGCGTTCTTATTACTTTCTTTCTTCTATTTTCTTTCTCTTTTTGTGCGAATTAATCAATTTAGAACAAAAAAGCGAGTGAAAAAGAGAGAATTGACATTCCACAGCAGAAGTTTATCCTGTATATATGTTGTCGAATTGCAAGTAATAAAAGAAACAATTTAAGAAAAAGGAAATTAATATTTAACAATAAAAATCTTACTTTAGACCATACATGTGAGAACACAATCAATAGAAATTAAATGCCTATAACAGTGGAAGCTGGATCTTTAATGCTTAAAATAATTGAATGTGAATTATATATATATATATATATAATATGTGTATGTGCATGTATACCATATTTGTAGTTATTCGAATTACGCGCTGAATTAGTTTTCCAGACCTATAAACGCAATTAAACTACTGTAATAATATCACAAATTAAATTAAATTGACAAGCAATTTTTAATAATTCGATGCTTAATCATATTAGAAAGGTGTTAATGTGCTGAAAAACTGTAAATAATTAATATTTTCTTAATTGGAAGTTAGTAAGGAAAGAATAGGAAATTGCAAAAAAATACAACAGATTGACTGCAACAATATTCAACTTCTCTTCTTGTTGACTATTAATTATATGTATAATATAATATCGACCGTTGTCGGCATAACGATATAACTACCAGATATTTACAGGTATCTTTCAGCAATGATTTACATTTACATTTACATTTACATACAACGATTTAAAGTTTCGTCACAATTTCTACACAAACGCAACTCAGAAATAATATCGTATGCGATAACTGTCTTTCAATAATGAGTTATTATTAATTGTAATAAAAATATTTCATTCGCGAAATGTTTGGACCGGAAATTAGTCCTCACGCGGATATGCACAGCCCCATGCGATTACTCCTCATTAATTCCTATTCCAATTCTTTATAATCTCAATTTTTGAACCAAAAATATAATTATATTTAACTGTATTCCTTAAGGAACTTGATGTGGAATTGCTTCAGTGCTTCGAGCATTGTTTTCATTTTCTCTTTTTGCGGCAGTATGGTGGTCCGGAAATGGTGTGTACCGGGTATCTGGCCGAAGCCCGAGCCTGGGATTACACAAATCCCGGTGCTCTCCAGCAGTTTGAATGCGTAGAAGACGTCTGGTTCTTGACCTTTCGCTCGCGCCGCCTCAATCGCTTTTAGCGGCAACTCGAAACGCGGGAACACATACATCGCGCCCATCGGCGGATTCGCCTGAAAAGGAAAAGCAAAGACATTGTAAAAACGTTGAGCGCAATTTTTCTTGGCTATCCTATGAAAGAACAGTCACCTTAAATCCTGGAATACTATTGAGTGTGTCGACGACGAGCTGCGATCTCTCTGCTAGAGAACGTAGAGTTTCTTTCTTTTCTTTCTGGAATTCCTCATACGATGGCTCATTCGGTCGCGGCGGATTCACCACAACATCCATCACGACCTGGCCGAGCACAGTAGGACACAGCATCGCAGAGATCGACTTCAATAGCACCTTCATCACTTCCGGGTCCATGTTGATGATTTCGGCGTAACCGCCACGGATCCCGCACTCACCCATATATCCTGAAAACGAAATGCACGGAATGCTTTTGAAATTTTCCGAGAAATCTATTCATGAATTTAATTTGATAATCGAAATTCTCAATAATTTCTCAAATTAAATATTCCCGTTCAATGTTTCAACTAAATCAACAAATTATTGTGAACATAATTTAAGAATTCAATGTTCCTTGATTAAATTATCTTGAAAGCCTAATATTTTAAATAAATTGTTTTTAGCGATTCTTATCGCTAGATATTTCGATTCCCATACTCTTTTTTCGCGCACCTTTCGAGATGGACATAAACGATGCAAGTTCCATCTTCGAATACGGCTCGCCCATCTCCGTCATGACTTTCTTGAAGGAATGGAATGCGCTGTCTTTGTCGTATATGTTGTCTTGGTAAACCTCATCGGCCAGCAAGAATAGATGATGTTTATGGGCGAAGCGGATGACATTTTCGATGTTCTTGCGAGTCAATACTTGGCCGGTTGGATTACCGGGATTGATCACCACCAATACGCGAGGATTACACGTATCCTTGACTTCTCTTAATGCTCGTTCCAGCTCGCGGACTTCTAGCGACCACTTGTTATCCTCATCCAGATAGTACCCGATTTGAGCGAGTCCAAACTCCGCCAAGGTCGCCGAGTACAGAGGATACTGCGGAATTGGGATCAGCACGCCAGATGGTTTATCGTTGATTCTTTCGTTGAATAGTTTTAGGAATGACTGGAAAGAGAAAATTCAGAATTAGACAAGAATGTATTTAAGAAAAGGTAAAATATGGCTTAAGGGGGTGTTGGAGTGATCAAATTATCACATTACAGTCGTATAAAAATCTTTGAATTGACTGAACGGAATAAAAAATCCTTTTACAGGATTAAAATAGACGTAAAATTCGGGGGTGGTGCAGTGGATTTTATACTCTAAAATCGAAAGAATGTTTAACAATTTTTTAATTTTTTTTCGATTTTAGTACAAGGTCTACTGATTTTAGTATAAAGTCTATTGCAACACTCCTAAATTTTGCGTCTACTTTAAGTCTGTAAAAGGATTTTTGATTCCGTTCAGTAAATTCGAAGATTTATATCGATCTGCAAAATCCCGACAATTTGGCCACTCCACAGCATCCTCTTAATAGCTATTATACTATCAGTCTGTCCAAAATATCAAAGTTACAATTTTATATGCCATGCATTGCATACGCAAATGCAAGGTTTTTCAACTAGTGTCTCCAAATGTGTCGTGAAAATTCTAAAGAAAATGAGAAAAAGCAAAAAAGTATAGAAATAAAAAATTATTATAACACGCAAGGTAAACGATATTTTTTAAATAATAAAAATTATCTAAGTTATATTTATTTTCATTAATTACTCTTATTTGAACTAAAATATTGGGTTGGAGGAAAAGTTCTGTGACATTTTGTTAGCTCAAAATTATATACACAATATTTTCGTTAAAAATACAATCAAAATTTAAATTAAAAAAATGTTTAAAGCTTGAAATCTCTACTCTCGAATGGTTACTATATTTTTAGAATTTATGTGAGTTTTATAATTTTTATATAGATATAGAAAACTACGAGCTGAAAAAAAGGAAAAGTTTTCTTCTTACTTTGAGTTTGTTACGTGTCAAAAAAAATTTGCGAAAATTTTCGATTATCTATATCGTGAAAGTTTGGAGTTTCCCTTATAAAATCGTTTTTTAAAAATGTTTCTACGATTGTTTGTTCTTGAGTTATTCGCGAATTAAGTAAAAAGGAGCATTCTGATTTTGATCGCGCATGACACTATTAAAAATCATATTGCTATCCGTATAATCATTGCGCAATGGGAAAAAGGACAGTAATGTTACATTTTTAGTTCAAATGTACATAAATTTTATTTCTTTAAAAATTGGCAATTACACCACTTGATAGAACAACGTTTCAGCTTTAAGAATCTGTTTTATTATTACGGTACGATGATTTTTAACGGAATTATGAGCAATCAAAATCAGAATGTTTTTATATAATCCGCATGTAACTTGGTAAGAAAAAGTTATAGGAACATTTTTTTAAAAACGAACTTCTAGGAAAAACTTCAAGCTTCACGTCAGATAGTTGAAAATTTCGCAATAAATATATTCTGTATATAATTTTGAGCTAACAAAATTCCGCAGAACTTTTCTTTGATCCAATATCGCCATTGCAATAAACTTACTTTTAAAACAATGAGATAAAACAATAGAAGCTCTAGAACTTATTTCTATTTATTTTTAACTGTCGTGTTGGCGGTATTCGACAAAAGATCTATGCTTAGAACTGAAGCATGTGCATCTCGGTAATGATGTATCTCGACAAATTTGGCTCGTTATTTATAAATGTGTCGCAAATTAAAGGAAGTTGAAAAATACTGATCTAATGCATAAATATATATATGCTGTACGCATAAAATAACTTTGTATGCTTATTATTGTGTAGAAAAATCGGACTTGAACAATAAGATTGCAAAATCTTTCATCTTTTTCAATATTTTTTAACATTACTTTCCGTTTTGACTTTTGACATTTGTCAATTTACGGTTCTTACATGCCAGAACATTACTACGTAACACTACTAGATAGAACATTACTAGATTGCTTTCAAATGTTTCGAATAATAAAGAGATAAGTGAAATCTGAGTACCTTGATACCATCAGAAGCACCGTTCGAGAGGATGACGTTGTGGTAATCGCAAGGGATACCGCCATCGCGTTCCTGAATGTACTGTGCAACATGCTTGCGAACACACTCGATGCCGGCCGATTCCGAATACGAGCCAACGCTGCCGCCCTTGCAACCTCCCAGGACCAACCTGGCGCGATCCTTCGCGTCTTCCGGGTAGCTCGGATCGTTCAACAGATTCGGCGAGACTGTCAGGGTGAGTACTTGCCGCAGGAACGTGATAGGCTGCTGACCCATCGCGTGGGCATCGCCCACATTCGCTTTGATTACCTCCTTGAAGGGTTTTTTAACGCCCTGCAAAGACAAACAAACTTAAATTCAAGGTGTTTTTGAAGTTAAACAGAAAGTAAGATTTTATTATTTATTCGAATCCTTGAGACTTATAGTTCGCAGAAATGCGCGATATCTTTCAATTGCTTATAATTCAAATAATGTATGTATTTCAGTTGTTTCTAAAAATATATCGAAATCTTAAGATGTATTATTCTTTAGTAACCTTAGTGAAAATCTTTTTATAAATTTTTTTACATGGTTGTTCATAGAATTTTTTATAGAATTTGTGTTTAAATTGCAGAATTTTTCGAAATTTCTGTATAATTTTATAATTTAATTAAGTAAGAAAAATCCTATTCTCTATATGTCATTTTATATCCAATTCTGGAAATCTTTTTCAGTCTTGAAACTTTTGAAACTCAAAAAAAATTTCTGCGCGCGGTTTGCAAAATTGAATATATACTTACATGAATTCATACCGAAATATTGAAGCATTCAGATCCGCTTTGATCGAAAATAGGATTTCTCTTAATTAGATTTATTTTCTTCGATCCAATTTCAAATGATAGTAATTTTATAAATTTTTAATAAATTTTTCAGAATATTTTGTATGAACTCTGGAACTTTTTTTAAATTCTTCATATACAGAGTACTCGGAAATTACCGCATCAGAATATTATAGTAAGATAGATCAGACTAAACTAAGTCGAAAAGTCCTCTACCATTTTGCAATTTTCGCAATAGTTAACGAGATATTAATTACTAAAAATCGCTGAATATTGATATTCAATAATTTTTTACTCAAATACTATCAACTTTACAGAAAAACTGCAAGAGACAAAAATTATTTATTTTCTTCTCATGGAACTCTAAGAATTTTTTCAGAATTTTTTATCATCTTTTTAGTACTGCATTTTCTTATTTTTATCGACATGAGAAAATACGATATTAAAAAATTCTGAAAAAATTCTCAGAACTTTATGAGAAGAAAATAAACAATTTTTATCTCTCGCTGTTTTTCTGTAAAGTTGATAATATTTGAGTAAAAAATTATTGAAAACCAATATTCAGCGATTTTTAATTAATATCTCGTTAATTGCGAAAATTGCAAAATGATAAAGGACTTTTCAACTCATTGTCAGTTTAGTCTGCTCTATCTTGCTATGATATTCTTGTGCTAATTTCCGGATATATACCCTATATATGTGCGTGAATTTTAAAATTTTCTATAATTTTTGAAGAAAATATATAAGAAGTTTTTTACGAAACTTTTTAATTTTTTATTTTTCAGAGCTTTTTAATTATAATTATCTGTATAATTTATTCGTATAATAAATCAGAACAGACCAGAAGAGTTAAAGTATTTTTTTCAGAAAGCTTCATAAGTTTGAATATGACAAATTTTCAAAAATATAAGAGTTAATTTTAAAAATATGAGAACTTACATTTTTTCATCAGAGAAGTTAAATAATTAAGTAAATAATTTTCGTGTCAAAAAATATCATATATTTTTACACTCGAAACTACCTTTATCAGAGAAAATAATGTCATTTTGCTAAAATGGGTAAACTTCGCACCGCAAAACTACGTCATCGACGAGCGTTATGCAATTACGTGTGAAACGAATAGAAACGCGAGAACGTTTACGGCATAATAATATTATTCAGCGTGTAATTGCACTGATGAATTAAACGCATTTCTTTTGTTTCCAACAAACCAGTCGTTCACATTTGCGAAAGGTTGATATTCCTATATTAAAAAATTTTAAACGTATCTGGTACTTTAGAAAGAAATGTATAAAAGAGTGCGCATAAAAAGTAGCATTTTCGAGACTCTAAGCACCATGAAATCAACGAAATTAGAACGATGCAGCCTATAAATAGATGTCTCTAAAGAAATGCGTTTATTCTGGTACACTCTGTATATCCGTAAATGACATAAAACAGTTCCGGAAGAATAATCGTTTACGAGGAAACATTATTTAGGGAGATAATGGCATAAACATATCTAAGTCTTCTCGCCTTCGATACTTTTAATTTTAAATGTGTTTTTTTTTAAATATATAATCGATCTCTGCATTTTCATACAGTGTATACGTTCATGTTAGTATTAATATCCTTCCTCGGATTTGATAACGTGATAAAAGGCTACCATATGTGTCTGACCAATATATTACCGAAATAAAAATGAAAGTTACTCGCTCGAGGCTGCTCAAGGCAATTGAGTTACGTTCTCACGCTGTGCGTGAGCGACATAAATGCTTGTTGATTACATGATTGAGTAGGATAAAATGCGTCGACTACGATACTATAAAATACCTTGTACTCCACGTTATCAACACGCATTATCGTACACTCGTTCGTTAATCTTTTCTTAGATAACATTGCACTCGCTGTGTTCGAATCGTTCCATTCTATTTGCAGAAGAAATAATTTAGATAAAAAAATGTTTTTTAAATAATTTGGGTAAATATATATATTAATTAATTTTGATGTTCTATATTGCATTCATTTATATTTTATTATTTGCAGAGCAGATAATTTAATTATTTATATGTTAATATTATTTAGATATTGTGTGTGTGTGTGTGTGTGTGTGTGTGTGTGCGCGCGCTTATCTATGTTGTTACCTGCAGGAGTTAATTTAAATAAATATTTACGTGCTAATGTAATTTAGATGTTTTACATTGCGCTCATCTATATTTTATTATTTGCAGAACAGATATATATACAGAGTGTCCCGTAAGTTTTTGCTAATCGCTTTTGTATAGATAGAGCTGACTAAATTGAATCGAAAAGTCCTCTACCATTTTGCAATTTTCGCAATGATTAACAAGATATTAATTACTAAAAATTGCCGAATATTAGTCTTCAATAATTTTTTACTCAAATACTATCAACTTTACAGAAAAACTGTAAGAGACAAAAATTATTTATTTTAAAAAATGATTGAAAACCAATTTTCAGCGATTTTTAGTAATTAATATCTTGTTAATCATTGCGAAAATTGCAAAATGGTAGAGGATTTTTCGACTTAGTTTAGTCTGCTCTATCTACACAAAAGCGATTGGCAAAAACTTACGGGACACCCTGTATATATAATTTGGATAAATATTTATATTCTAATATAGTATAGAAATATCTGTGTGTCAATATTTTATTACTTAAAATAAATTAGATGAATGCTTAGACGTAAATAATTTAGGTATGTTCCTTATTTACTTGTTATACAGGGTGTCTCACAATTACTGTACAATATCTGTGTATGAATAGCATATTCTAGAAGTAAAGTAAAAGATTCTTATACGAAAATGTTGTACAAAAGTTTTGAATTATAATCGATAAAAGATAATGAGTAATAACGCGTAAAATTCGCGCGTTAATTAAAGACCATAGTTATATAAACACGCGCATCGGTCTGTCATTAATAACACGTGTCAGTGTAACAATGGACCTCAGCGCGCAATTCTATATGATATTCTGCATATATCTGATTAGTTATAATTCAGAAACAATTGCGACCTCGACATTTTCGTATTAAGATCTTTTATTCTATTGAAAGTGACTTGATTAAAAGTTAAAATGCTGTTTATTGTTTAAATTGTACTTTGTTTAAAATTTACTTTGCCTTCGAAATATGCCATTAAAGTATTGTACAGTAGTTGTGAGACACTCTGTATATTATGTTCTTCTAATTTTTAAACGTGTGATCTCCTAATGTGCTAATTTACACCTGATTTTTTAAATAGATAAGATATCAGCGTCTAAATCCATGTTTTGAACAAAATGTAAATTACGCGGAATATTTTTCCACAGCTGCGCACGACATTGCATTTAAAAGTGATGGGTTTAAAACTGAAGCCTCCAACAAAGACTGTCCAATTTTAACGTTGCCTTTCCTATTAGTCATATTTTTGTTCAATGTCAAGAATGCATCCTATCTCGCGATATCTCGCGATATATATTTTTCACAGCTTCTTTTCCTGGATGTGCTTATCTTATCTCTCGTGCGCGGTTAATAAAGTGCAATCTTAAGGTAAAAGCGCATTCCCAGTTATTCGCACTTCACAATTAGAACCTTAATTAGCGATTATTTCCCCCTCCCCTCCTCCTCGTCCTTCGCCTTCGATACTTGGCGTTTCTCCATGACAACCTCGCGTTCTATCACCGAGCCCATCCCTCTTCCATCCCTCTCGCCCTTCTTTCGCGCTCGTTCAGTTTACATTCGATGTAACTGCTACGAGTAGTCCCGTACAACTCTGTGTCGCTACTATATATGGTTCCTTTTTTTTGAGGCTCGTATTCGGAGGCGACTCTATTCCGCCTTAAAGTGGCGAGTCGTCGCCCTTGACGGGTCGCTCGTTCCGATTTACAATTCTTTTATAACATTGTTGTTGCCGTTTTGCGAACGCCAATTCGGTTAACAGCTCTTTTGCATCACCCAGGTCGTCGTTTCTGCCAAATTTGTTGCAGACGCTTGGCAAGATATGCCGCAGCTTTTCTCAAATTTGGCTGACTGCTGGGCTAGTTTGTCCCTTACCTTTTGCAGCTCCTTCTCGATCTCCAGCGCCCTGATGAGCAGCGGCCCGCGCACCGCGTACTCCATCTTGCGCAGGTTCACGAAGACGTTGTCCTCGGTGAGGACCTTGCCGCACGGGCTCGCCGTTGCCGCCGCCGTCGCTGCGCTCGATGCCATGCCGCGACACGGAATAACCGGCTGGAGTAGCATCGGTGCGGAGGACACCGGCGACGCGTCCACCATCCCTACCCCTCGACCAATCAACGCCCCGCCGCCGCTGCCGGCACTTTGTCTCGCCGCTGATGTCGCCGCCACCGATGCTGTCACCGACATCGTCTTCGTCGGCCAGCTGCCGGCGATCATCGCGTTCCTCAGATGCGACATGTTTGGTTACCCTGCTCCTCCCCTTCCTTGCCCTCTTGACCCTCTCTCTTTTCTTCCGACGAAAGGGAACTTGCGGCGCCGCTCTCTGTCTCCCTCTCTCTCTCTCTCTCTCTCTCTCTCTCTCTCTCTCTCTCTCTCTCTCTTTCGCTGATTAATCAGCGTCCGCTTTTTTCCCCCTTCGTTTGCGTTTTTCTCTACCTCGCGTCGCTCATCGCCGCGCGAAATTCCTCCGGAGCGGATCTAACTCCGGTGCGGCCGACTCTTCTGCTCCTCGACCGTCCTCGACTCCTCGACTCCGTAGAAACTGTAATATACGCGTAGCGTGGCGGGATGCGCGCGCCTGCGCACGCGCGATATCGAGGCGAGTCGAACGAAAATCGACACGGAATACGAAATTACGCACACAACGCACGCACACCGCGTCGCTCGACGTCACTCGGCGCCCAGCGATCGCAGCGATGAGCGAATACTGGGTGCAAGGGGCGATGGGGAGGTAAGAGGCAAACAGCGGAGGAGGTCGTTCGAGAGCTAACGATGTTAACGGCGGTACGAAGTTCGATCCAAGTGGCACGCCACCTGGGGACGCGCCGACGACGTCGACGATCTGGTGACGGAGGATGACCCGCGTGAATATGAATGCCGCCGGGTAGAACGACTCGTTCTCCTGAAAAAAAGAGATAGAGAAAAGAGATTGAATACTCGGCAGTTTTTAGATCTAATTTCACCATGCAATGTAAGATTAACTTCAATTTGTATTTAACTTCCCAAGGAACACAAAAAGGTCATCAATAAAAAATCAAAATGATTTTATTTTGATTTTTAACGTCAATAAACAGTCAAATTTTGTAATAAAAAATCATCATTTTAACTTTCGTAACGTTGAAATGAAGTCATTTTGTGTTTCTTGGGGTACTGTTTATCTTTATCTGATTCTAAGAATTAGAAAAAGAAAAGAAAAATCTTGGTTCTAATTCTTAGAATTAGAAAAAGATGAAGAGTAAGTTGAAACGAGAAAGTTAATTTCTACATTGGTAGAAACGGACATAAGAGTGCGTTTATGTTAGAACAGTAATAAAGATATAAAAGCCATAAGAGATAATCAAATTTCTCTTTGATTTGTACAACTGTGATGTATAATTCTAGCTATACTACTCGTATATTAACTGAGGCGAATCGTTTCCGAAAATAATAAAGAATTACTGTTATCTTTAAATACTGCAAAATGATATGTTGGAAAATCTTTATCCAAAAAACGTCAATTAACATTCTGCACCCCATTAACATCAAATGATGGAGGAGAAGGTGGTATGGCCAGTGTAGGGGGGGGGGGGGGAAAAGACTTAATATTTCCGCTATTAAATAGCAAATTCTCTAATTATTATTTATGAAATTATTTTCCAATAACTCGCAGTTACACCATGGCGTTAATATACCAATAGCCAACATTTATTATACCGTATTTATATTTTCAAATATTTCGAAACGGTTTTTCTCTCTTAAGGTATATTTTAGCAACATTTTAATAATTATTAAGTATACAAAATAACAGTAGTAATTTACACGATAGACAGAGATGTGCACGCAAAAAATAAGATATCAGCAAAATTACTACACTTTGATGTCTATCAGAAATTAAAGGAAGGAGATACAAAAAAATAATATGACATAATTATTAAAAACAGATAAAATGTGGACAAAATAAAACACGACGATAAACCGAACGCCAAAAGCAAACAGATGTAACATATATGAAACGTAAATAAATAGGCGTATACAGAGCACAGGCAAATAGAATAAAAATGATTTTCCAAGCTTTCAAATGGTAGTATATTCTCAGTAAATACAGAATATGACTGATGTACAACGTACACTCTAAAAAAAATACGGGAGTGAATTTAATATCCACATTTTTTTACAGTATACTCATAAAATGTATAAATTTTATATCTATGTTATGTGGTAATTATATTCAGTGTTTGCTGGGAATTTTTTCGAAATCGTACTTGAGATAATTTTGAGATTAAACGTAACATCGGATTACCGTACACAGAAAATAAAACCAGATGAGAGAGAAAGATGATTATTATTTGAAAACCTTGTTTAAAGATCGTCAATGCGCCTTTCTGATTTTTGGTTCATGACATCTTAAGACTGTACTTATATATGTATAAGACAATTTTAAATATAAGAACCGACTATGAATACCAACCGTACTTTCGGAATCCTTGACTTTCGTCTGTTTTTTGATAATAGCGTTGAATAAAATCTTTGTATCACTACACGTATTTTTGTAATAACAGTAGATTCCATGATAATTACCTCAAAAATACAATTGTCAGAAAGTTCATCCAAAATTTTTGTAGAGGCGTAGGACGAGTTTGGCGATGACACTGAATCGCCTTCTTGAAAATTGGCTTCTAAGCGAGCGAGCAAGCGATTCGTAAAGTGCGCTTGCGCATGTTGTCTGAATTGTTTCTTATATGATATTTTTCCACGGATCGAGAATCAACTAACTACCTTCGAAATTAGTTTTGAAGCGAATTCGAGCGAAAGAACGACGGTGAAATAATCATGATTTTTGTGTGATTCCTCGGACGTAAAATTCGCATTTAAAATTTTATATCATTGTATATATGTATAACATAAAATAAGTAAGAAAAGAGCTAGTATTAATAGATTTTGTTAATATTTTTAAATATAAATTCTAAATACATTTTTTAGTTATATGCTTTTTAGTTATATAAACTGTCGAAACACAATCATAAACTGCAGAAATTGAAATAATAATATCACAATTATAAATTGATTGTCGATTTGATATTAATGCATTTTAAGATAAATGTTTGCTTTAGGTACCCAGCTCCGATGACCTCGATATATGTTATCAAGATTATAATCCTGAGTGGCCTTCGACAGGTTTTAATTGGCGTTCGCTCTTCGTTAAAAAGTTATTAACAAAAGAAGTTTAAAAAAATAACGTTTCATTTCTGCTATAAGTGCTGTAAGCGACTCCCACCCTCCCCTCCCTCTGTCAAGGGGCGCACTTTTTTAAAGCAGTGAATTTTTGAAAAGTCGCAACAAAATTATAAATTTTCTGTTTTAAAAGCAAACTCCTACTTTAAAAACAAAAATTATATAGAAAATTAATGCTTTCAAAAATAATTGTTCTTTTTAAAGTAGGAAATAAATGCTTTAAAAACAAAAATTATATGGGAAATTAATGCTTTCAAAGATAATTTTTCTTTTTAAAGCAGGAAATAAATGCCTGCTTTAAAAAGAAAAATTATATGGAAAATTAATAAAAAATAAAAAAGGACTACGAGCCAAAGGTTAATCTCGTTATAAATTTAAATTAGTAAAATAAACATATCAGAATATAAAAACTTTAATGCCGGCTATAAACAAATAAATAAAGACAAACGTTTCAACCCTATTGGATCATTATCAATGTTAAATAGAACAATACAATGATAAAATTAAAATTAAAAATATTTTGCTCTCCTGTCGCAGTATTAACATTTCAGTTAACATTTGAAGCAAATATCGTACAATATGGTATCGGTAACATTATGTTCTTCTGTTTTATGTATTATCATGAGATATCACTGAGACAATATTGTCTCGGTACTTAAACGAGTAATGACATTATTTTTCACTCTCTTTGCATTGTCTAATAATAGACTGTCTCTCTATTATTAAAATCCGCACTTTAAGAAACAATAATTATGCGTTATCACATACATAAACAGAAGAATATAATATGTGAAAAACCGATACCATATTGTACGATATTGCTTCAAATGTTAACTGAAATGTTAATACTGCGACAGGAGAGTGAAGTATAATTTTTAATTTTAATTTTATCATTGTATTGTTCTATTTAACATTGATAATGATACAATAGGGATTGGAACTGTCTTTATTTATTTGTTTGTTTATAGCCGGCATTAAAGTTTTTATATTCTGATATGTTTATTTTACTAGTTTAAATTTATAACGATTAACCTTTGGCTCGTAGCCCTTTTTTATTTTTTGAATTTATTGAGCCTTATTACTATTATATTTTTTGGAAAATTAATATTTTCAAAGAGAATATTTGTTTTTAAAGCAGGTTATTTTTTTAAACTTCTTTTGTTAATAACTTTTTAACGAAGAGCGCAAACTAAAATCTGTCAGAGGTCACTCAGGGTCATAACCTTGACAACATATGTCAAGGTCAAGGTCATGGTCATCGGAACTGGGTCCCATAAAGTAAACATTTACCCATCTTAAAACTATTTAAGATGTTACTACAGCATTTTAGAACTCTGTGAAGAACTTATACACATAACTGAAAAATATAATTAAAATTTGCATTTAAAAACATTATTATAGTCTCCAAAATCTCGATCAAATTGGCCTTTTCTCTATTTACATATATTTGAATTATTCATATAGCGGTCTAAATTAACTTATTATTGTAGTAACTTATTATTATAATATATTCAGACATATATTTTATTAGACTTGTACATGTAATGTATTTTGGTGGTGCACATTTCGGATGCAAATACGATAACTTGTCAAAACGGAAAAATACATTTTGCACTAGTTGTGCAATCAGAATTATCATTCAGAAAATCCGGTCGCCAAGATCACGGTCTTTGTACTATGAACCTCGAAACTAAAGACTTATGAACTGATGCAAGCCACTTCGCGACTTTATCTAATGTCTAGTTGATACAAATCGCGAATAACAAGACGCGCTACACGTCATCGTCCGTGACAAAAATAATCTGCCGCAATGACCATGTGTCGGATTTTCAACGTTCACGATAAACGAACGTCCGTTGATCGTGAACATCCTAATAGCAATTTATTGACGATATATAACTTTATTCGCGTTGCTTGCAATTTTTGTACTCAATATCTCATTTTAAGTGCAAAATTTTTTGTAGATTTCAAGCAACATGGACAAATTTCCCAAGCAGAACAGCAAGTCATTATGATATCAAAATCATGTCAAAGTGACTCCAAAATGATCATTAAAAGTCATTTTTTAATAATTTCCGATTCATCTTAATGTTATTTATCGTGACTTGTTGTTCTGCTTGGGTTATTAGTTAAACGTTGCAATCGGAATACATTGGGCTAATATTTAGACCAATATAATACTGGGATAATCCCAACAAAGGCAGCCAAAATCGAAATGACTTTATTTTGATCCTTAACGACAACAAACAGTTAAATTTTATAACAAAAAATCATCAATTTTGATTTTCATGACGTCAAAATAAAGTTCATCAAAAATCATCATTTTGACTTTCTCTTGAATTGATGTGTTCCTTAATTGGAATACTGTACCAATAATTATACTACTAACGCGTCATATACTGATTAATAAACACACTTGCATTCCGGACACTTGGAATTTTATTTATCGATCATTTGCAATGACGAATACGTACATGGCTTGATCTTATACAGCCGTAGCCAAAAATATTAGACTCCTTATTAAACACTACTTGAAATTTTATCTAAAAAATTGATTTATATTTATTGTAAATTATTCTTATTATTAGTTTGAAGAATTCTTCAAACTTATGTATAATATTGATAACCAATAATGCATATAAAAGAATTCCAGATAAATAATTTTTATAAATGCCTAATATTTTTGGCCAAGACTGTATTTAAGATTGTGACAAGTCTCGGGTGATAGTCTAGAGACTTTTTCCTTAATAAAATCATCTCGTATTATACAATGTATCGAATTATGAATACCGTTTACATATCATCGTGTGAAATTTTCGTCGCAAAGCACAAAGGACTACTCAAAGCGATAATACGACACGTGATTTACTCACCCTTTATTTCGATAAGATTTTCACTCGCGGCGCTGTCACTGCTGTCCGATGCACTAAAGACACTGTCGAGATCGCATATTTTTCGTTTATCGCTAGTATCATATTTTTAGCCAACGCATTATATAAGTGCACGTGGGTGAGCAGGTAGTCGGAGCATGTCCTCTCCTTCGCTCGCTTTACAATATGTGACTTGTCTTTACGTTACGTACTAACAAACAATGATAATTAACATGCACTCTTTGTCTTTTTCTCTGCAGTCTATTATGTAATAATGTCATATTTTACAATATTATATTTCATTAAAAAAAATACGGCAACCTAACTGAAATTTAATATGCTCAACCTATTTTCTTATTAATTATTACGTAATATCGACCATTGTTGGTTTAACAAAAACGATTAGATATATACAAATTCTTTAGCAATAACTAATTTTTTTATTTACATTTACATGTAACAAATTTACAATTTTATCAAGATTTTTACAAAACTCAATAACCGTTGTATGCAATAATCATCTCTTAATGGCCGATATTCATAGTCGATCAGTATTTAAGATCGTCTTAAGTACAGTCTTAAGATGTTATAAACCAATACAGAGGGCCGTTTTTTAAGACAATACTTAAGATGACCTTAAAATGACCTAAAAATAAGAACAGACAATGAATATCAGTCAATAAATTATAAATCATAACAAAAATATTTTACGTTCTTAATATGTTCAAAAATTGAACTTTCACTTGGATATGCACAGCCGTAGGAGGTCATTCCTCATTGTGTGATTCCTATTCTCCATAATTTGTCAATTTCCTCTCAACCGGAAATATATTATTTAACTGTATTTCTCAAGAAACTTGATGTGGAATTGCTTCAGTTCTTCGAGCATTGTTTTGATTTTCTTCTTTTGCGGCAGTATCGTAGTGCGGAAATGATTCGTACCAGGTATCTGGCCGAAGCACGAGCCCGGGAGCACTAAAATCCCAGTGTTCTCCAATAGTTCAAACGCGTAGAAGACGTCTGGTTCCTGGCCTTTCGCTCGCGCCGCCTCAATCACCTTCGACGGCAGCTCGAAGCGTGGAAACGCGTACATCGCACCCATCGGTGGATTCGTCTAAAAATAAAAATATTGTAAAAAATATTGAGTAACTTTCATTACCTATTTCGCGAAAGGACAGTTACCTTATATCCTGGAATACTATTGAGTACGTCATCGACGAGCTGCGATTTCTCCGCAAGCGAACGCAGGATTTTTTCCTTCTCCTTCTGGAACAGCTCGTATGATGGCTCATTCGATCGCGGTGGATTCACTACAACGTCCATCACAATCTGGCCGAGCACGGTAGGACACATCACAGAAATCGAGTTCAATAGCACCTTCATCACTTTCGGATCCATGTTGATGATTTCAGCGTAACCACCACGAATCCCGCACTCACCCATATATCCTGAAACCGAAATGCTTCAACACGGAATGCTTCTGAAATTTCCCGAAAAATCTATTAATGGATTTAACTTGGTAACTAGAATTCAAAAACTTCTCAAATCAAATATTAATGTTCAGTGTTTTAACTCAATAAATTTGCGACTATAATTTAAAAATTCAACATCCTTTGATTAAATTGTCTTCAAAGTCTAATATATTTTAAATAAATTCCCAGCAAACAAGCTGACGTTATTTATTTTTTACTTTGCCGTCAAAATGACGATAAATAACGTCAGCTTGTTTGCTGGGTTGCTCTTTGCGATTTTTCACGAATTATGTTCCGATTCCCGAATTCATTTTTGGCGCACCTTTCGAGATGGACATAAATGATGCAAGTTCCATCTTCGAATACGGCTCGCCCATCTCTATCGTGACCTTCTTGAAGGAATGGAATGCGCTGTCTTTGTCGTATATGTTATCCTGATAAACTTCGTCGGCCAACAAGAACAGGTGATGTTTATAGGCGAAACGGATGACGTTTTCGATGTTCTTGCGAGTCAATACTTGGCCGGTCGGATTACCGGGATTGATCACCACCAGCACACGAGGATTACATGTATTCTCGACCTCTCTTAATGCTCGTTCCAGCTCGCTGATTTCCAATGACCACTTGTTATCCTCATACAGATAGTATCCGATCTGAGCGAGACCAAACTCCGCCAGAGTCGCCGAGTACAGAGGATACTGCGGAATTGGGATCAGCACACCGGATGGTTTGTCGTCGATCCTTTCATTGAACAGATTTAGGAATGACTGGAAAAGAAAAAAAAAAAGGATGAGGTGAAAGAAAACAAAATATAGCATTCCCTACTGAAAAAAAAATCACATCACAAAGTTACATTATATAAGGTGGTGTCATTAGTTTGACCTTGAATAGTTGCTTGAAGGTCACGTGAAGGCCTTCAATTTCTTATATGGAAACCCCTATTTTTTATTAGATATTCTTGTAACTTACCTCGAGAGCTTTCCAAAACACTATAATAAAATATTTTTTCATGAAGTATTTTTTTAGTTATGGTGCTCGAAAGTTACAGTATCTCCGGTATTTAGCATTAGCCAAGGTGTCCGACCGACAGTTAAAATCTCTTAAATGTTGTTTAGGACCGTGGAACTTCAAGGCCATTGGAAGTTGTACATCTTATTTTCATTTTTCGTTAAAATGAATTTTTAGTGTAAAAATGAAAAAAAGAGGAACAATCTCCAATGATCTTGATCTTAACAAATGAAGTTATCTAATTCATGATTTTAAACAACATTTAAGAGGTTTTAGCTGTGGGATACCTTGGATAATGCTGAATGCCGGAGGTACTGTAACTTTCGAGCATCATAACTAAAAAAATACTTGATGAAAAAATATTTTATTATAGTGTTTTGGAAAGCTCTCGAGGTAAGCTACAAGAATATCTAATGAAAAATAGGGGTTTCCATTTAAGAAATTGAAGATGACCTTCACGTGAACTTCAAGCAACTATTCAAGGTCAAACTAATAATATACCTTATGTCCTCCTCAAAGCCATACAACTTTTGTCTAAAACATTTTTTTCTAAGATCAAAAATAAAAAAGTTATTTGGGATGGGACATTAAAATGGGACATCCTGTATAAATATATACATTATTCATGTAAAATAATTATTCATGCTCATTATTATGATAGAAAAAATAAACTGGAAAAGTAACGTTGTAACATGTGACTTTGTGTTTACTGGGTAGATTACTTTTAAATAACGTTTGAAATAACAAAAAGAGTTGAAGTCCACGTACTTTGATACCGATAGAAGCGCCGTTCGAGAGGATAATGTTGTAGTAATCGCAGGGGATACCGCCGTCGCGTTCCTGAATGTATTGCGCAACGTGTTTGCGAATACACTCGATGCCTCTGGTCTCCGAGTACGAGCCCACGCTGCCGCCATTGCAATTTCCCAAGATCATCCGAGCTCGATCCTTTGCATCCTCCGGGTAGCTCGGATCGTTGAGCAGATTCGGCGAAACCGTCAGGGTGAGCACCTGCCGCAAGAACGTGATAGGCTGCTGACCCATCGCATGGGCATCGCCAGTGTTCACTTTGATCACCTCCTTGAAGGGTTTTTCAACCCCCTGCAAAAAGAAACGATCTTAGATACAATCACGATCTTCGTGTTTAATTTCAAATACTGTGGAGACTATAAGCTACAGATTTTATAAGCTATGTATAGTTTTAAAAAATTTTCAAATTTTTGCTTTTTTCAAATTGGTGGAAAAAAATCGAAAAAATTTCGGTTTTTTTTCCGAAAAATTGGTTTTTTTTGGAAAAATTGCTGTTTTTGTTATGTAAAAGGCATAAATAACTTCTAAATTCCTTTATAAAATTAATACGATCTATGAAATTACGTAGCATTATTTTTATTAAAATTTTTTAGTTGTCCTTCTATTTTTATAGTAAAACCTAATCTAACCTTTTTTTATAGTACATGGCAAAGCTTAAGTAGACAGATTTTTAACTCTAGTTTGCCACACTCCGATCTAATGAACTCCTGAAGTGTCTCTTTGTAGTTTATTTTTTTTTCAAATATTTTGTTATGAATTCAGTTTAAATTCAAATTATTTTCTAGACCTACTATTATCATATAAACATGATGTTTGGACTCTATATTTTTAATTCTTACATTAATGGCGCAATAGGGTATGTTTTATTGAATACATTATGCGACCTCAATCTTTCATACAATTTCAAAATTTCTGTTAACTTATCTCGCTGTGTACCCTAATGCAATTATTTTCTTTACGGAAAGAACCGAGAAACAAACGTGGTAGGTTTTACGAGCACGCGTGAATTTTTCTAAAATGAATTTTTCTTACCCTTGGAAAAAAAACCGACAAAATTCGCAAAAAAATTGGAAAAATTGGGTTTTATCCGACCCTTTAAAACTATAAATATATATATGTATACTATATATATGTATACTGTATATATGTATATAGGAATACAATCCAATTTACGTTTATAATACATTTTAATGGAAGCAATCTAGATATTTGGTTTGCACCAAAGTGGAACTGAATTGAGGGTTTAGATGGAAACTAAACCAGTTATAAATGGAAAATAACGTGGGTTATTTTTCAATCTTGAATATAATTCCTGGTGAAAAAATTTCGCTGAAATTATTCCACGTTTTGGAACATTTAAGCAAAATTGCTGAAAATTTGCTGAAATTTCACTGAAAGTGAATTTTTCAGCTAACATACTGAAAAATCGTTGAAACTGAACTGAAATTACTCTAAAATTTCTGTAAAATTTTTGATGAAATTTTTCTGAAATTATGCTAAAAATGAATTTTTTAGCTAAAAATTGCCGAAATTAAACTGAAATGCTGAAATTTTGACGAAAAGTGTTTCAAAATGTGGAATAATTTCAGCGAAATTTTTTCACTTGGGATATCTATGCATTGATACGCGTTATCTTACACTCACGCATTAATTATTTGTTAATGTTAAGTAAATAATAGTTTGCACGCACTATGAATTGTTTTTACATTATTACTTGCCAACAAAGTAATTTGGTTACATGTTTATTTAAAATTAAATGTTTATACGCTGTATTTGAATTATTTCCATTTTAATATTTGCGAAAGAAATAATTTGGTTAAATGTTCACTGAATAAATATTTATATGCTAATATAATTTGAATAATTTGCATTGCGCTCATCTATTTTA